GTTTAAAATTTTTTTCTTGAATTTAGATGATAGGGTACAGGGCGGAAAAAAGTCCAGTCTGTGAAAAAAAATCTAAAATAGCCCATACATTTTTTGAGACCAAAGCTACAGATCTAAAAGCTATATTTTTGAAAAGCCCTTGAAAAATGCATGTTGAAACATGTGTCACACTTTAAGATTTGTTTAAAATTGTTTTTTTTACCCTTTTTTAGGCATTTTTTTCAACCCTCCCTAGCGCTCAAACTATTAAAGTTATACGTCTATTTTTTCTATGAGCTGGCCTTGAAAAATTGGGCTATGAACATGCATTTCAACCCTTTACCTATTCTCTAAGGCCTTTTTCTAGGGGGGGGGGGGCACCAGACGCCCCCCCAGGCTATACATAGATTCAAACCCCCCCCCCCCAGTCTTTATAGGGTTAAAGCTTTGAAGGAAGAAGTACGGTCGGTAAGGACAAAAGAAAATACGTATTTTTATAAAAATAAAAATAAAAAATATATTTACTTTGCGAGCCGAGCATTGTAGCTTTGACGGTAGAGAGGATCTTTAACTGTGTTCCTATTGTAGGTATTCTCTCACAAGCTTGTAGAAGATTCTGAAAACAAAAGTAAATCAATTTTTAGAAAAAAATGAAAAGATTTAAAGCAATTTCAATCAAACTTGGAAAAAATACATTTCGATAAAATTATTATTATCCTCGGTCCTGAAACAATTAAAATTAATTAACAAATACCTTTGATATTTCAAATTTAGATTATTTGATTTAACTTACTTCATAGTTTGAAATATCAAAGGTGTATGACATTGGGTTACAAAGATAAAGGAATTAGAAAATTAGAGTTTGTGGCAAAGACTCAACTTCTTTGATCATCTTCAAATTAGAAAAAAAAAACAAATTATTACTTATAAAATGAAAAAAGGTGTAATACACAAGTTGCGCCTTTTTAACTGTTTATTCCGTTCAAAATAAAGAAATCTATTATTCACCCCAAACTCTAACTTTCCGATTTTCCAATACCTTTGCAGCCTGATGGTGTAAATCTTTGATATTTCAAACTTTAACTATTTGAACGGGCAGAATATAAATTTTGAAATATCAGAGGTCTACGACATCTAGCTTCAAATTTAAGAGTCTGGGGCAATAAACAGTTCCGTTGTTTTAAATTTCCAGAAGTCAGAATTTTTGGGCTGTGAATGTGTGTATCTCCATCTTATACAGACCTAGGTACGGATTAATATAATTCCTCTTCTATATCCTAAAGGGATCATATTCTGCAGGGATAGAATTGACTGAGGTTTTAAGAATTGATCCTCAAATTCACAGTGAATATCGAGATCAAGTGTTCAAGAAAATCTTAGCTTTTCCAAATTTAAAAATTGTCTTACTGTTTTCATTCTCCTGTCCATACAGTGATATGCCAGAGTAGAAGCTAGAGCAGTTACTTCATCAGAAACCTAGGATAGTAGTATTTAGGATATTTGGATATGACCGTATAAGGGTATAAAAGGATAATTGGATATAAAAGGTATATCCTGTAGGATAAGTAATCAGCAACTCTACGCAGTGCTCTTTCAAGCTGTGAAGCCGGGAGCTACTGTGGGGAGAGATCCGTAACCTTCTGAGAGCAGAAAGCAACTGGATAGAAAATATATACAATACAGGATTTTTGGATATAAAGGTATATACAGGATTTTTGGATATAAAGGTATATACAGGATATCTGGGTATTAGTATAAGAGGATATATGGTTATGAATATTCAGGTTAAGTGGATAGGAAAACCTATACAGGATATCTGGATACAGAATATCTGTATATAAGCATACAGTATATCTGGACATTTGTATACAGAATATCTGGATATGAGTATACAGGACATCTGGATATAAAGTTCTATACAGGATATATGAATAAAGGGTACAGGATATCTGAATATATGATACAGGATATCCGAATATAGGATACAGGATATCTGTATATGAGTATATAGGATATTTGGATATAATACCTGTGCCACCTGGACAGCAACGTTGATTAGTTCTTTCTTACTGCTCCCTTCCTCCTACAAGAAAGATTATTAACTGGATAATTGATAAATTCCATCTGTTTTTACGTTTATATTTTGAAATTAAATCAGTAATTGAGTGTTCACCAAAAACCATGATTTTCTAATCCCTAAAAATAGCTGTGCAACCAATGTCGAAGACCTTAGATACTTCAAACTATGAATATTACTAGATCAGATAAGCCAAGTTAGAAATATCAAATGTTTACACCATGAGGTTGCAAAAAAATAGGGATTAGAAAATGTCAATTTGTAGCAAAGACTCATAATTGCTTTACTTAATCTTAATACAAGGAATTTGCGAATTGGTAATTTTGAGAAACTTAGTAAGGGATAAAGAAATTTTGGATGAGGTTTAAATATTATCAAATCCGGTATTATTCTCAAGCTAAAACTAAAGAATTTAAGTTATAGCATAAAAGTTCTAACTAACTCAGCTAGGGTTAAATTGATTAATCCCAGACACATATAAATTAAATTATTAAAATGGGTTATATTAAATATAATATAAACAATAAATATGTAACTTTCCTTTTCCTTTCCTTTCCTTTCCTTTTCCGTTTATTACTATTTTTAAGTTTTTTAGAATTGGGGGGAGATATTCCCACAACCTCATTTTTTGGTAGTTTTTAAATATTTTCTCCTTAATCACTTAATTTTGTATGTTTTAGTTATTCTTCATAAATTAATGATTACTTCTACTTATTTGAATACGCAAATGTGGCAACATTTTGCTGAGAATCATGATTGATTGATATTTAAGCTAAAGCTTAAAGTTAAGGTTTAATTTAAGTCGCAAGCGACATTTAAGTTAAAACTTAACATTTAAGCCGTAATTTTTCGTGCTTTAGCTTTGGACTCTGGAATTTTCTTACACCACTAAATCCAAAGAGAATAGAATATATATTAGAGTGGAATTTGGACAATCCCTCGGTATGAATTTTGTCAGTCCCTTTCAGCCTAAAGGGAGTTCAAAGTGTACAATTTATGTAAATGTTCACAAATGATATGCAGTAGAGTACATTAATACAGTATGTTCCCTAGACTATTCATTTCAAGTTCGAATTTTTTAAAGCTGTTAAATAAACTTTATAAAATGAATTAGGTGAATAAAAAACATCATTTGATTTATAGTTATAACGGAAAATCATCGTTTGTAAAGTGAAAGGCAAAGAGTCTATGTGAAATGATCATTGGTCAATTATAAAACCAGCCAATTTCATAATTTGGTTTTATTTTAATATTAATTTTAGATTTTACTTTCAAAACATTTAGTTGAAGAAAAATTTTTGAATTGAAGATTCTCATTCCCAAATAATTTTCCTGTTTGAAAAAAAAACATTTTAGATTGATTTCTATCCACATGTACGTGACAGGCTATCAGAGAATTGGTTCAGATAAAATCAAATAATTTTCAAGAAAACCTTTCTATAAAATGATATTCCAGGGTCCAAAAGGTTATATAGCACAGATATGTGAAGTACACCTGCAGTATGGAAACAGTACAACAAAATGGCCGTTTTACACTTTTTTCGAGTAAATTCCACTCTAATATATATTCTATTTTCTTTGACTAAATCTTATTGTTTTTTCTTCTCTCCTACTTGTTATTTTTAGTTTGAAAGAAAACAAAATAACGACCTATATAGTATATACTGCTTTCTTTTTAATTCTCTACAATGTTGTTTTCAAGTTTAAAGAAAATTATTTTAGAAACAGGAGGGACTATGTTTAAGTATTAAAAATACTTAAATTAATCTATCTTCATCAGAAACATAGAATCTGCTCACGTTTTTATAAATTATGTGTTCTAAATTTTTTTTAAATCTACTGTAAAGAATGTCTCTAATGGTGTCTGTCAAGAATGTCATTTCTAAATATCAAGAATGTCACTACTGAATGTCAAGAATGTCACTACTGAATGTCAAGAATGTCGCTACTGAATGTCAAGAATGTCACTACTGAATTTCAAGAATGTCACTACTGAATGTCAAGAATGTCAATACTGAATGTCAAGAATGGCACTACTAAATGTCAAGAATGGCACTACTGAATGTCAAGAATGGTGAATGTCAAGAATGGCACTACTGAATGTCAAGAATGGTACTACTGAATATCAAGAATGGCACTACTGAATGTCAAGAATGGTACTACTGAATATCAAGAATGGCACTACTGAATGTCAAGAATGGTACTACTGAATATCAAGAATGGCACTACTAAATGTCAAAAATTTCATTACTGAATATCAAGAATGGCACTACTGAATGTCAAGACTGTCACTACTGAATATCAAGAATGTCACTACTGAATATCAAGAATGTCACTACTGAATGGCAAGATTGTCACTAGTGCATATCAGAAATGTCACTACTGAATATCAAGAATGTTACTGCTGAATGGCAAGATTGTCACTAATGTCAGAAATGTCACTTTTACTTGTCAAGAAACCAGTAGTTTATATAAATGATGTCACTAGTGAATGTCAGAAATATCACTAAAATAAATCGCTTACATATATTAGGAATGTCATTAGTGTATGTAAAAACTGTATGTAAAGAATGTCAACAGTGTATGGTACAGAATGTATGTAAAGAATGGTATTAGTGTATGGTAAAGCATATATTTAAAGAATATATTTAGTGTATGTCAACAGTGTTTGGTAAAGAATGTATGTAGAGAATGTATGTAAAGAATTTAAATAGTGTATGGTACAGAATGTATCTAAAGAATGTCGATAGTGTATGGTACAGAATGTATCTAAAGAATGTCGATACTGTATGGTAAAGAATACATGTCAAGAATGTCAATAGTGATTATCAAGATTATTGTATAGCACCGTTTCACACATATGTAAAAGTTCCGATTTTGGTTAATCACAAAAATCACCTGGACTAGCTGACTGAGACGTGCCATCAGCAGCGCCATTTTTTTGGCAGCGGCAATAATATTGTTATCTTTACTCGACCAATTGCAAACTTCCTCGTGCAAGTCCTGAGCCGCCATCTTTGAATAAAGTAAAAATTCAAATATTCAATCAAAAATGTGAACAATCTTTTTGAAAATTTGCCAACAGTCCCATCAAGCCAAAAAGTTTTTTTCACTAGCTTTCCGGAACTACAATAAGATCATGGATGAAAAGACATCCTTGATAATTACCGAATCCGGCTTAGTTCAGTTATTATATTTGTAGGATTTGCTTCACCACTAAATATTTTTATTTTTTTTTCTAAATTCGAAAAAAATAACGACTCTTTTTACAAGTTTCTTTTTAATTCTCAAAAACAGCATTCTATTTCGAATAAAAATTGAAATAAAGTAAAATATAAACAAACATTCATCTTGGGAAATTTCTTCAACTTTCTAAAGTAAAAGAAAAACTTACCATGATCAGTCCTTTTGATGGTTTGGTGAATATATCTGAATCTTGTTGATCTATCCCTGGTGGAGGGGGGGCGGGGCGGTGCACACTCATCTAAAAGGAAAATATTTTATATCCCTAGTGACCACATAATTTACCTTCTTCATCCAAACCCACTTTATGTTCCCAGGACAATAAAGTGGGTACACTTTTTGTCCCGGGTTTAAACCCTGATGATCCCATCTGTATAATCTATCGTCGATTTATATTTTGATATTTTAAACCTATTGAATATTGATGTGTACAAATATATTGAATATTGATGTGTACAAATATATTGAATATTGATGTGTACAAATGGGATTGTAACTCCGGCCCTATGTATCTGGTCAAGGGTTGAGTTGAGATTTTTATACTTTATCTTGTGAGGTCGAGATCCTGGTTAATTATGTCCCTCGCTGCTCTTGGAACACAATTGTACATGAATTCAAAATCCCACCGCAATCTCATCCGATTCAATCTCATAAAATCCCGCCTCAGTCTCATAAAACCCAGCCTAAATCTCATAAAACTCCGCTTTGGTCTCATAATATCCCACCTCAATCTCATAAAATCCCGCCTCAATCTCATAATATCTCGCGTCAACTCTTGACATTGTACATAAAATAGTTAAACTGATGTCGATATTTTTTGTTTATGATCAAATATTTACCAATTTTTTCTAAAGATGTCTTTTTCTTACTACTGAGCTCTTGTTGGTACTTGTGTTGCTCCAATTGAAGCTCTTGCTGCTTCTTTATCTCTAGTTGCTTCTGTTGGTGCAGCTGCTGTTTCTGTAATTGCTGCTTTTCCTGCATTTGCTCCTGATGCTGCTGAAGTTGAAGAAGCTGCTTTTGCTGTTGCTGATTTTGAAACCCAGAACTATCAGTAGAGTAGTTTTCTTCTGTAAACCCTCTTAATAAAAATCATTTTGATTGGTTTGTTGATATAGCTAAATAGGATTCTAAGAAATTTCAAATTCCATTAAACTCAAATTAATTTTCTTAAACTTCTGTCAAAACAGTGTTTTTTTACGTTTTTCTCCAGCTTATCGTTTTTTATTATTTCTATTCGGGAAAGTTGAGAAATTTTCTTTTGTCAGTTTAATTCTTTATTATTAGACTGTAAACAATTACTTTCTTGTTTTTCTTTAAATCTTTCTTTTTCAAGTTAATTGTTTCATTCAGATAAGATAAGATAGTTTAATTTAGTACGATCAATTTTTTTAATTAACCATTTTAGAAATGAATATAAAATATTATTAATGAATATATATACAGTGAGAACCAGAAAATTGTAGAATGTATTTTTGTCTGTGTTCCATATTCCAATGTTTTCTGGTTGTTACTGTATGTAACCATATATTACCTGTATTCCTGATTCAAGTTCCTGTTCCCTTGACTCTGATTTGATGCTGCTGTCTGAAAATAAACAAAATTTTCTCTTAAAGAGACTGTCCTCGGAATATTGGGTGGCCCTCTGTTTTAAGAAGGACATGCCCGATTCACAACTGCACCCTTAAATTTTAAATATGATCAATGATGTGGAAGACGCCGTTGTTTTTTTTGACATATCCAGTGTTTGATTTGATAATTTATTCATTGTTTCTGATGCAAATAATGCTCAAGTAATTTTTGTAGTGAAACAACAGGTAAAAATAGGCATTTCTTAAAAACAAAATCATGGATATCTAATCAAAACTTAATCAGACAAAGCCAAGAACGAGTCATTTGAAATAAAGTTTCCAGCCTCTTTAGAGCACTTTGTACAGTTTAGAACTTTTATCTAATCAACAATATTCATTTTCAGGTATTATTTTCTTTTTACTTTTAATCATGAATTTATTAATCTTTTCTTTAGAAAACCCCAGTCTAACCTTGGATTGTTTAGCTGCAATATGAACAGTGGATCTTGTAGCTTCATCTAAATCAAAATAATTATTAATTAAACTCGGGGGTTGTTAAAATTAATTCGAAATATAAGGAAGACGATTTTTCCGACTCAAATACCGTAGACCTTTCTCTAGATGTATGCGTGCTCAAGATCTGTTTCCTCCACGTAGTGCCCGCATGTCAAACCCCGCTTCTTCTCCCCCCCCCTTCTACAGATCCCAGCCCCGGCAGTCAGCCGAAAACACCCGAGATGATGACAACTCCGTCTCAGGGAGCAATCCTGGCTCCTTCATAGTGATGATGCAGATACCTATAGCTACCAACAGACGATGCTTACATCCAGCTCAACATTGTTCCAAGAGTTCCAAAATTATCAGGCGTACATTGAGATGCATTCCCTCATATTCGAAACTGATAAAACCGCGATCTCTCACCCTGTTCCAAGGGTTCTACTTCTCCTCTACAAGAGGATACTCACCCTGTTCCAAGGGTTCTAACTCT